TCAGCGAGGGCTCTTCAGCAAAATCGTTTTGATGATCGCGACCCGCCAGCTGAAGGCGACCATGGCCGTGAAGCGGCGTTCTTCGGCAAGGCCGTCATGGCGGAGATGACGGGGCAGAATTCAAGGAGATGCCCAGCAAGGCCTTGAGCGCTCTCGCATGCGCCCGCCACATTAATTTCGGCACACCGCTCGCACGTTTCGTGGCCACGTGGGTAGCTCCACCGAAGGCCCCAGCGGCTGCGCTCGCACGCGCCCGCCGCACCAATTTCGGCACACCCCTCACTTGCTTCGTGGCCACATAGGGGGCCCCACCGAAGGCCCCAGTGGCTGCGCTCGCATGCGCCCGCCGCAATATTTCGGCAAACCCCTCACTTGCTTCGTGGCCTCACAGGGAGCTCCGCCGGAGGCCACAGTGGCTGCGCTCGCACGTGCCCGCCGCACCCATGTCGGCACACCATTCACGCGTCTCGTCGCCCATGTCGGCACGCATTACGTAGTTTTTGTTTACATACGTTGCATGTGATGCCCGGTGCCTTGGCGTCCTATCTGCATTGTCCTCTTCCCTCCATCCTCCTCCTGCCGTCGTGCCGCTGCTCCCGCAAAGCGGTGAGAATAGGCTGGCCCTGTCTTCTTTTGCCCACGCGCTCCGGCGTATGCCATGATTGAATGTGATAGGGAGCTCCACCGAAGGCCCCAGTGGCTGCGCGCATGCCATGCGCCCGCCGCGCCAATTCGAGCCCACCCCTCACACGCTTCGTGGCGCCACGGGGGGCTCCACCGAACGTCGCACCTCCTCCACCCTGTCAGAGAATACCTTCCTCGCACACTCGTTTATCTCAGGAGATTATGTCCCAATAATATATATATATATATATATATATATATTGCACCACATGGCGCAAATTCCACACGTGCGCGCACGCGTCGAACTCATGCCAAACACACCAGTGCTGCAAGCATTCCAACGTACAAAAAGTACTACAACGAACAACTCGTAGACATTGCAGTCGAAACTTTGCAAATATTATGCCCGCTCGTATTTGTTGAAATCCGAGGGAAACCATATCAGCGTAGAAATCTCGTCCAGACTCCGCACTCTAATGCATACGCGTTGATCCAGCATGCGTCCAGCGCGAAAAGCCGCACCAAACATTACCATGGGCCACACGCGCTCGCCGCGACGCACACGTGTCGAAAGCCTTCCACAGTCATTCGTTTTCGAAGCATGTTAAAAGCGAGCGGGTCTAAAACGTATATAAATGGTCAGCACTTGTTTTTCAAGAAACAGTTCTGCTTTGGATCTTGGATTTCCATGCGCGCGCATTTCCTCACCATCGCCCTCATCAGTGCCATCGAATCACGTCGTCGTCATCGACAATCGCCACCGTCATCACTTTCATCACCAGCACATGGACCTCATCATCGTCATCGTCGTCACAAGCTTCGGCGCTGTCATTGGCCGTGCCGTCGTCATCGTCATCATCGTCACCACCATCGCTGCTATCATCATCGTTGCCGCCGTTGTCGGCATCATCAAGACCCGAGTCGCCGACCCGAATTGAACTGCCCGCGCGCTAGCGCGGCTTTTGAGACGCTCTGGGAAGTTACCATCGGTATAAACGTCATCGCGGCCGCACCAGCTGTTCCAAGCCAGTTGGCCGCTCTGCGCGCGAGCTTGCGCGCGCCAGCGCGGCCGCAGACATGCGCCAGCCAGAGCCAAGCAGTCATCGCAATCGCAGTTGTATGGGTCTCGCAAAACAAGTTGCAGGTGGGAGGGCGGGATGACAGCCCGAGCATTGGAGTTGACAATTCACGAGTTGGCAAGCAAAAGGTGCAGTGTACAGCTAAAAGCGCACCGCTGACACCAGCTGACACTGCACTGCTGACACCTCTTTGCTTGCACCGCAGCTGCCGACTCATATACAGCACCGCATTTATTGTACTGCATGCAATAGCTCAATGGTTGGGTCCACGCCAGAAAACATTCCGGCCCAGGACAGAAGAAGCACATGCACATAAACATGATGTTCCGGAGGTCCGTGCGGATTTCTTGGATCGGAGTTGGGCGCCCCTGGCGCCGCTCCTGGCGCGGGGAGTCCAGCGCCGATCCAAGAAATCCAAGCGGGCCTCCGAAAGTGTAAGTCTATGTTGTTGCTCTCGTCTTCTCGATCCGCGATTCTCCCGTAGACGGGCTAAAGGCGATGCAGGCAACGGCGATGTAGGTTTCGGTCTTGTGGGAAGGCGTGGCTCGCGCTTTCCTGCACTCCGTTGTGTCGTGCTCGCTCGATCCACTCGCAGGAAGCTGTGGAGCGTGAGCTCCTACACTTTTGGCCCCCGACACCACCGTCAGGCCACACCGCCGCGAGCCCGGCCTTGGCCGTCATCGTGATCGTCCTCTTGGCTCAAGCCGAGTCGGGCTGCGCCGTCTGGCGCACGTACGTCACCACCCACCAAACCACCCCAACCCAACCCGAAGGCTCAGATTTACCCTCGATTTCCA